GGGGAATGTAGGGGTTGATCATGCAGACAATCTCAATCATAGTTAAATTTAAGGTACTGTAATCAGTATATCATGCAAACTACCTCATTCATGGTACATAACTTAATATTATACTGTGGAATCAATATGTCATGAAAAACGATTTCATTCATAATTAAATAACATCAATTTTCATAGAAATCAGTATATCCAATGCAAACTGTGTCATGGTACATAACATTATCCACCATGATAGTCAATCAGTATCTCATGCAAATGATTTCTTATAATATATACAAGGCAAGGCTGCCTCTCCTTGTGTTTCAGCTAGAGGGCTGAAATACAAATTACAATAGCGTACCGTCTTTCGGATGAGATGTTTAAGCCGTTGGTCCCGTGTACATTTATGGCCCATGTGCACGTTAAAGACCGCAGTGCACTCTTCGGAAAAGAGTAGGGGATTGTCTCCCGGTATACTGTCCAATCACCACCAGAAGGACCCCACTGGAAATAAGTCTTCTTCTAGACTTTCGTGGGCTATCCTTGGTGTTTACACCAAATAAATCCAATCCAATCCAAAGGCTCCATAAATATGTAATAAAGCAAATATCAGTGTCGGATCCAAGAATTCAAAGTAGAGGGAGCCCGGGGAGGTACTTTCACAGATGAAGGATATATACCAGAAGAAAATTTGTGATTATGGCACCTAGATGGCTGGAAAGTCTCAGACTTAAAATTTGAATATAATCAAATCTTTATATCTCCATTTTTTTTTTAAATTTCCATCTATTTGGGGTGGGTGATGGTCAGTTGGGCCTCCTTTGAATTTGCCAAGTATATATTACCCAGTTTTTAATGAAACACTTTGAGGAACAGGGTTTTAATACAGTGTTAAGATGAATAAATAACACAATGAAGACACGAGCATTTCTTTTGTAAATATTTATTTATAATGACGTAGGACCTATGATAGGCCTACTGAACTACGAGGTGAGATAGGTAACATGGAAAGCACCACGCCAATATTTTTTTATAAGCGTCGCTCTTGAATAAGCGCCATTCTCGAATAAGCATGGCACTGAAGCCTCCAAAGATGTTATAAATTGCTGCTGCACTTATTCAAGCACTTACGGTATGTTCTTGATCAACCAATAAACAACAAGGCTATTACTACCTGGACTCCGTTGGAGCAATCTTGAACAAATCAAATGCTCGGGGATACAACCACAGTTCCTACCAGCTCCATATGAATTGGCTTAGGCTTATGCATGCAAGAATAAGAATATAACTTGCGCACTGCAATAAATATGCTGCTTTTCCCATACAGTGTACAACAAAACAAAAAAATGAATAGGTGCGTCATAATTCCTCAGGAAAATCTGTTATATTCGAACGAAAGTTGCACCTGTATAATTTTTGCATTAACTAATAGCAGTAAACCATGCACGAATAATATCTTTCATTACACAATTTGCTTGAATGATTAATCGTTTATTTGTAATAATACACAAGACTCATTTCTAAACGTGACATATTGTAGATGGCCATTTTTTATGCTGTCCAATTTTAGATATTTTATTAACCAATTTTAATAATTCATTGCATTATTATTATTTATTGTTTTACTTTTCTTTTTCTTTTGTTTATAAAGTTTTTAGATATATTTCATTATCAAATTCTTCCATTCTCTGCATTATTTACTCCAAAATCAGCATTTTGGAAAAATATAATAGAGGGTATTTTATAAGGTGCCCAATACTGTAATCAGTGATGTATCCAGGAGTCTTCCCCCACCCGACTCAACTCTGCCCTCCTTCCCCTCCTACTAATTGGTAAGACGGCTAATTACAAACTTCAAGGACTCTGTAGGTCCGTGATTATTTAATGGATACATTATTATGAAAAAACACACTAATTCTTCCCCCCTTCCCCTCCTACTACCTATTGGTAAGACGGCTAATTACAAACTTCAAGGACTCATAGGTGCGTGATTATTTAATGGATACATTATTATAAAAAAAAAAAAAACACTATTAAACAATAATACTACAACCTTTACAATATATTAAATTGACAGTTTCCCTAAAAAACAAACCACAACCATTGCACGTTATCATTCACCATTGGCTTAAAGTCAGCCTCTGGAGGAAAATTTTTGAATGTAAATTGTACAACTGATATTTTTAAGACACAAAAAGGGTGTGACGAAAACTTAGGAACAGTTAATGAACACCCTTTTTTCCACAGTCCCCCCCCCCCCCCCCTTTTTTAATTTTTTAAAAAATCTTTACCATTTTGTTGTGCTATAACCTTCAGTTTAACCCTCAGCCCCAACCACAGTGAGGCTGAGGTTGTCTAAACCCTACATATATACTGTAGGCACATCATGACTATATATGGGCATAGAACATTTTTTCATTAAAAAAAATGTAATAGTGACGATGGACAGCCCTTTATGCAGGTATTTTCACTTGATTTTTAGGTCACAGTGGCCAGGTGCATGGGTAGTTCGACAAAATTAATCCAATGCAAATACAACTTAATACTAAGGCCCAGAGTTCCTAACCGCCGACTGTCACAATGTTTTACCTATCCTAACCATTGGCGTATCTATGAATTTTAAAATGGTTGTATTGTATTTTAGTATGTCAGTGTTTTTATTGTAAACCTTGGAAAACAAATTTCATTTACTTGACAATAATTGAACTTGAACTTGATGGTGGGGGGGGGGGTGTGATTGGGTGTTAGAAGGTGGAGTCTGGGCTCGATTATTAAGTGAATGGGTGGAAGGTGGAGTCTGGGCTTGATTATTATAGTGAATGGGTGCTAGTTTCAGAAAGATGTGATTTTTAGCTACTTTAACTTTAATCGTTTTGTTTCAGAAATTACATTTCAATGGGGAATGGGGTGCAATTGGGGATGGGGGCCCCATTCTACGCATCCATCTAGATGTACCACTGATACTAACTACCAGAGAATATTCCGTCATCATAAAATAAAACATCACATTGGAACCACATTATCTACAGTGCAATTGTTGAAATTATAAAACTTGTATACGCATTGTAATTAAAAAATTCTTTTCATTTATATTTTCCCTCAGACAATTGTTGACATGTTGAATTGTAACTGTTTGTCGATGGCAATGGTAGGTATTCATTGCCCTTGGAACATGGATTGAAGTAGAGTTTAATGGCTTGGTGGTTAAGGTGCTCGTCTTACAATCCAGGGTCCTGGGTTTGAGTCCTTTATGAGGGCCCCTCTTATTTTAATGTATAAAAGGGTCTTTCTGTAAAATTCTGCATTATGTCCACTTACGTCAGTGAGCAAATTGCTTTCAAGCGTAAGTTAAGTTGAAGGATGTGAAATGTAGTATAATATATGGGAAATACCTCAATCAGTTCGAAATTAAAGGCGGTGATGACTTGCTTTAAAATTTTACAGCAAATTACTTAAAAAGAGACCTATTTTTTCATTAAGTGGGGATCTAATTTCAGTAATGTATTACAGGAGTAACTGTATAGTGCTAAAGATGACAATTCGTCAAGTTTTATTGATACTTTATTCATCTAGAATGTTTTCATTATTTCAGATGACGCAAATATGTCTTCCACAAATGCAGCAGAGGTGAGTCAAGTTTAATACAGATTAGTACATTTAAGAAAGTATAACTTTAATATGTCTTATATTTTAGTTCGATTTTTCAAAAAGTTTTCCTGGAAATGTTTTGTTTACTCTGTTTCAACTGTCAGTTCCTTGTTCAGTTGAATGTCATTGGGAAATTGTGAGGAAGGGGGAATTGTTGTCAAGCATCAACATTTTTTTTAGATGTGGTGGAAGGTTTTTTTTTTTAAGATATACTTTCTATTATATAATTTTATACAAATTAGTACAATTAAGAAAGGTGGTCTCTAGGTCCCAGGTTCAATCCCATCGCTTCCTCTCCTTGCGTTTCAACTGGAGGGCTGAAATAAAAGTTACAATAGCCCACAGACTTTAAGCTGTTGGTCCCGTGTGCATTATGGCCCATGTGCATGTTAAAGAACGCAGTACACTCTTCAGAAAAGAGTAGGGATTGTCTCCTGGTCTACTGCCCAGTCACCACCAGAAGGACCCCACTGGAAATAAGTCTTCTAGACTTAAATCCAATCCATCATGACCATATATAGGCACATCATGACCATATATAGGTACATCATGACCATATATAGGCACATCATGACTATATATGGGCATACAACAGTTTTTTTTTGTCAAAGAAAATTTCATAGTTTTGGCAGGATCTTTAAGCATTACAATGTTTTTCTACTTTTTATCATTTCTGATTTATTCCATAGGAGGAAAGGAGCTGTCATTAATATCTCCTCTGCGTCGGGATTAACACCATGTCCATTGTTAACTGTTTACTCAGCAACTAAGGTATTATTTCAATTTCATTCATGTATTTTGTCATTTAAAAAAAAAAAACAGTCAAACAATTATTACACTAAAAAGTCAAACAATTAAACAATATAAAGCATACACATCAGTGACAAAATTTAATAAAAAAACAAACTGATTCGCTGTGTTATTTTTTTTCTGTCAAGAAGGGAAAATACAGTAACATTGTTTAAAAATAGGCTCCCAGCTGGTCTGTTATGGAATTATGTGAATATGTAGCTATATAAGCTCCTATTTTATGGCAGCTTGGTAGCTAGGTTCTTTCTATGTCTTAAACAAAACCCCTATTATGAAGTTTATTATTCCTTTGCTAACGGTATTTCTTCCTACTGGCATTAATTCCTACACCCATGTTTACTGCTTGGTATAGTTTTTTTTTTTTTTTTGGCTACTTTTAACTCATAACACAGCCACGCTTTCTATGTTAGCAATTCACATGAATAGCTGTACAAGTAAAGCCCCTCTCCCACTAGGGGTTTTTTCAGCATAGGAGTTACAAGAGTTTGCCGAGTTGCTAGCTCTGCGAACTCGGCAAAAACTCATATAGGGCGATTCGGGAAGCTCGGGGAGAACTTGTACCTACTCGTAGCAGCTCTGAACTCGTGGCGCCAATTTTGATCATGTTCGAAATTAGCGCTACGAGTTGACAACTCGTAGTAAACTCGAAGGACTCGTAGGTAACTCGTGGAGTACTCAGGGTACTCCTACCTAACTCGCCCACCACTCGGGAAACTCGTCGACGGTTTTGTCACCCACGAGTTTGATGCGAGCACCCCAAAATTAGTATGAGTTAAGTACGAGCGCACCGAGTTGGCTACGATCACCAGGAGCATTTGGTACGACTTGATTTCGTGATACACGTGGCGTGTCAACACAACACCAATATGTCAGCAAAAAGAAGCAGAACTAAGAACATACTGTATCAAACAAAATGAAGGAGAGAGGTATACCAGATGCCTCTGACACTGATACGCAACTTCTGGTGGAGGCAGATGTTCATCAGGAAGATACTAGTTACATACAGGAGGACCAGGATGTTCAGGACGAAGAGCACAGTATGAATCAAGACAACGATGAAACTGGCTCGAGCCCTAGCCCTTCGCCTTCAGCTGTAGATACCTCATCTGAGAACAGGCCTAAAGATTCCACAAAAAAAAGAGGGAGCAGGCTTATGCATTCACCGAACAGAAATGGTATTGTGACAATAGCTGTTTGTATATCAAAAGACACGGAGACTTCAAAAATGCTGACAAAAAGCGCCGTCTTATGGAAGAGAAAGCCAATTCATTTGATCCTCTATGCACTTGTAAGTTTGAAATTTCATTTTATAATCTTTAGAACAAAGTGTACGCTTATAATTTTTGGTAGTAGGACAGTATGTTTATAGTACAAAAATAATGTTTTATATATTTATATTATAGGTGAACATAATTGTCTGCGACTAGATATAGGCCTATGACTGATTTAAAGTTCTATACTTGTTTAAAATTTTCTTTTATTCTGGAATACACCCTAATGTCAATAAAAATATAATTTGAAAAATTTCATCTTGTATATATGCAAAACGTTTCACTGATGGATTTTTGACAAAATTAATGTAAAAATAATCATCTTTAATTATTTTTCTGTGTCCACACAAAAACAAACAAATAAAATACAAAAACAATCTGGAATTTTTATTTGGGTTTGCATGTTTAAAAAGAATAACAAGTGTAAAATATTTTTGTATTGTCTATAAATACTTCAGTCAAAGAGCAAAAAATGGATGAACTTTAGGTTTCATTTAAACTAATATAATTGTCATGTAGATATGTTCGCATCTACCGTAAATATTTTAGTCACATGCAATGTTGTATGTATCGATTACAATAAGTTGAACTCCTCTGGCAATCTGAGCTGATTTGACAGGGATCATTTCCAAAAACCATTTAGAACTTGTGTCATGAAAACCTGAAAATAAACAAAAGTATTCATAATTAACGAGACATGCACTCCACTGTCTTGAACAGGGGTGGCGCTAACAGGGGCGGGGGGTTGCCAGGGAGAGCTTCCTCTCCCTCCTGTCGGGGAGAAAAAGCACAATTCGTCGGGGAGAAAAAAAAAATATGTATTTTCTACATATTAATAGACTCTAAATTCGATTAAATATTAAGCCTTTGAAACCCCTAAATTTCCAAAATTTTGAATGCTAAAATCTATAATTAACGTTGCAGTTCCAAGATATTAAGACATCAGATTCCATGGCCATACCCAGCGGTGGTGGTGGTGATGATGACGATGATGAGAAAGAGGAGGAGGAGGATAATCGTCAGGGAGATGCTCCTCATGCCATGGAGACAGTTAGCACAGATTCGATCTCTGATGAAGCTGGAACAAGGTTAAAGGTCAAGACCAAGAGCAGGCCAAAATGCAAGGCTACTAAAACTAAAGAATCTGAGGTGCTCGGCTTTTTATGTTATTATGTCGTGATACATTATTATCTAGTGACAAATTGATTTTATTGAATTGCAACTTCTTGCTGTTTATTCATACAATTCTGAAAGAAAATGAATGGACACATGCCTTTGTTTGATAACTTAATATCAGCATAGCATGGTGTATAATTAACTAAACCAAAATTGTTGTTGTTTTGCATTGCAGTTACTGACCCGTGCCGATGAATTGGCCAAAATCCGCAAAGAAATGTCTCCACACGAGCAGCAGGATGAGACGTACATGGGGTATATGAAAACACAGATACAACTTATCCCATGTGAAAACTGGTACCAGTTTACAATAGACAACATGAGGCTGGTACAATCGTACGTGGTCAGACACTCTGCATCAACTGGCCATCATGCAGCACCTAACCAGTCCGAATTATATACTCAGAGTTCTTCTCAAGGTTACCGGATTTTTCCGTCACATCGCTACTCCTAACTCTTCACTCCCACGCCTATGTCGCCTCAGTTGAGTGTGTCTGGAGGCTCTGAACATCAGAAGCCCTACATACAATCCCTCTATCGCTGTTTCCCGACCGGCACCCAAGATTGCCGTCTATCGCCAACTCCTACGTTTGGAAGTTTATCGACCCAGGGGAGGTACATATCTATAGAAACACCGAGCTCTGGTGGATCCTTGGCTTCATATACGGCCACTATGCCCATTGACGTCGAGTCTACAGAAGACATATCCCCCACTTCAAATTTGAGCCGAGCAAAAAAAATCAAACACCAATTTAGAGTAAATTTTGGCAACTACATTTAGATCAAAGACCTTTTGTATACTTCAACATTAAAATATTATAAAAAGTTATGAATGATAGATATATGTTGCTTATACCACATTCCTATTGCATGAGTTATAATTTTTGGGTAGTTCTTTTAAAGGATTTGAAGTCCGACATGATAATTGAGAAACATTTACAAAAAGATGGTGTTGATTACATTATACATTGTTAAATATGTTACATTTACCATGTTTTTAAACAAATATTTTAATAATATGAGTAAATATCTTGTTTAATTTACATTTATTCGTTTAATGTAAATTTAATCACATATAATAAAGATTGTAATATATACTTCATTGGCATGTTTTATTTAAATGTTGAACTTGGTTATTTAGAAAGCAAATAGTTTAACTGTGGAATTAAAATATTTATTTTTATTTATTTGTTTTATTCTTCAAAATACATACATACCTTAAATCATATTATTCTGCCAACTCACACTGCCAACAGGGTTGTTGTAATAGGAGCACAGGTAGTCACGTTGGCCCTTGGCAGCCTTTGTAGTATTGTTTCCTTTTAAGTATTCCAGGGCTGTCAGTGCTTCTTGCTTCCGCCACCGACCTGGAATTACTTCATGTGTGTCCGGGTCTTCCCTGTCCATTAAGTTGTTGGCCACGGTAGAGTAGCGGAACCTGAGTAGATTATGTAGCACGAAGCAAGCCAACACAATGCTCTCTACTGTTTTGGGGTCTTGCTCAAACGTGCCAAGAGTACAGCAGAACCTAAAGGAAAACACAGCATAAAATAACTTTCCAATACGAAAGTAAATTAGTTAAATTTAAAAGAAATTAAATAGACTGAAGAGATATTCCTAATATAGGCATACATTATGTGGACAACTGGGCGGATGCAAAATTTGACGGTAGGGTGTGCGTGAGAATACATACCACCTCAGCCCCAACATGGGGTGTGAAAATTGGGAGAATTTGGACTTCAAGGTGCCCGGAAATTGCACTCTTGTACCTTAACAATCTTACCGGTAATTCATATCAACAATACAATACAACACAACCATTATTTTTCTTAATACAATTTAGAGGCTGTGATTGTATCGTCTGCACCCCTTCTCCTCCTACATCCGCCCCAGGACAACTGGTAAATAAATGAAATGTACAAATAAAAATAAAATATACAAATGCATTGTGTTACTGGGTTATTATAATTCTATAGTTGACTAATAGGCCTTATTGAATATAGGCCTATCATTGCCTATATTTTATTTTTAAAATAATTACATTTTTACCTGTGTGCCAAAATGCCAAAGGCATTCTCTACAACCCGGCGAGCACGGGACAATCTATAGTTAAATATTCACTGTTGGGTACGGCATCATCAGCCAGGAACGCATTGGAAATGCGTCATCGGCTACTATGCTGTACGGCACAGGCTGATCATCGTTTGGTAGCGGTGCTGGCTCTGGTAGCCCCAATTTGCCCTTCTCCATGCATCACGCAAAGTACAGTCTTGGAAAACTCCGCCATCTGAACACCGGCCATTGGCGCCAATGTCTACATAAAGAAACCTCGAGTCTGCGTCAACTAATGCCATTAATATAATGGAATGGAATCCCTTATAATTGTAATACATGGAACCGCCATTTCGCGAACATTTGATGGCGATATGTTTACCATCTAGTGCTCCTATTGTGTTTTCGAAGTTCCATCGTTTGGAATAGGCCTGGCTAACCAGTTTCCATTCTTCTGGAGTACTTGGGCACTTCATGTACTCCCCCACGTACTCAGCGATAATAGCCTCGCATGTTTCCGGCACCAGTTTAGATATTGAGTTATTTGCCACCCGGAATCCGTATTCCAGACTCTTGTAAGAGTCCCCAGTGGCAAGGTATCGCAGGGTGATGGCCAGTGGCAATCCCGGATCAAGTGCCTTTCTCATTCTGGTATCCTGCTTTCGGATCCTTGGACTAACACAAACCAACATTTGCTGAAAAAGTTCAGGATCAATTCGCTGAAAGTTCCTAAATCCAGTGTAGTCCTCCATTGCCATTTCCAACATTAAAGCTTCGTATGGTTCATGCAAAGACCTGCGCATTAACCAGGGTCTAGTCCAAAAACGCCTTTCTCTTTCCTTCATCCTTCCCCTACGTTGGCTCCTAGCAACTAAAAGAGCTGCAATGGCAGCATTTATAAGTAGTTCTTATTCTAGGAGCACCAAAATATTTCTGCTGGCTTCCATGTTGTATGCGAATTTGCAAAACAGAACGTCAATTCTAATAGCTTGGAATGCCCTTACCTAATATCTAATTCGGTACAACTCCTAACGCTCATAATAATCTCGTAAGCTCCTAGTTGAACTCGAATCTCGTAAGCTCCTAGTGAACTCGGTGTTTCGCTCGGCATAATTCTTACATAACTCGTAGCCAACTCCGTAAGGTCGTACATCATTCGTAGCTAACACGTAGTAAGCCCGTATGGAGATCACGAGTTTCATGAGTTTTTAACTCGTGCGACTCCTGGATGAAATCGACCTAGGTGGGAGAGGGGCTTAATACATTGTTGAATTTTAGATCTTTCTAGGACAGGTCTAGGCATGACATTTTGTTTTGTAGGCTTGCTTTTGGAAGACTGTTCATTTGGGTACCCGTTCATTTGGAAATTAGACAGAAACCACCCCTGGACAATAACCACCCTGACAAAAACCACCCAGAATGGAATTTACCATTGGTTTTTGTTCTACATTCCATTCATTTCTATCTTTAGTGACACATCCCATCATACAGGAGAGATGATACCAAAGTGTCTACTTGTCTACAAAAACGTCAATATATAAATTTTATATAAACATAATAATATCTAAAGTTAAAATTTTTTGTACATATATAGCATATTGTAGATATATAGAATATTGTAGATATATAAAATATAAAAAATATAAGAAAAAAAAAACAAATAAAAAAAATGTGTAAAATAGTAAGCTTGTTAATTATGCTTAGGGATTGGATAGGGATAATGCATTGGTACACTAATTGCAATTACAGGTCTCCCATCAATAAAAGCCCCCTCCAATTAAGGACTACTATTCTATGGTCCCAAATTAACAAATTTCTTTTAATTTTATTATTCTAATGAGAGACCAAAGCTGCTAAAGGCCATGGAAACCCTGGTCCCAAAAGCGGTCTTTAATTGGAGGGAGACCTGTATAATTTATGTATTTTTATTACAATTATATTTATAATTGTAAACATAAAGATAGTGATAAAGCCAAAAAAAAATTGTGTTGTCTAAGCAAAGAAACATTAAAGCTCTTCCACACTATCAAAGTTTATGTGACAAATAACTAATATGCCCATATTTATGTGTGTAAATATGCCCATATATGGGCACATCACACAAAATTGTCACATAAAATTTGATAGTGTGGGCAGACCTTTAGAAATTGTATATATATTTATATTCTGTCTCTTATACACATCTATTCTACTCCACTGAATAAATTACTGCAGGATGTAATTGATATGAAATACAACCCAAGCTTAAAAAATAGACTCCTGGCATTAGAACTACCAACTAAAATGAAATCATCAAAATATTATTCCCGCCTAATACTATCTAGTCTTTGCAGTGATTGACCTGGAGGTCACATTTCGCCTGATAATCGCTTTTTTTGTGTTGCAGCTAAAAGGTGCACAGCCAAAATCGGTTATTTGCCGTTCAAACACGCTATCCAATGCGTGTTTTTAATCATTTTTTTTAATCGCTTTTTTCAAACTGGTCCCGTTTCTACCGCGAGAATAAAAGCGATTTTTCGAAAAAGCAATTTTTAATCGATTATTTCTTTCCAGTAGAAACCGGCCCTAAGTAATTTTTTTTTTTTAATAAGCTAAATGTAGTACAGAGTACAAGTATATAATAATAGTGATAAAGTGCTATTTACCCATTGATGCAAACCTTGAAAATGAGCAACACTCATTATGTTAGATGAACATAATGGTACAGCCATTCTGAATGGATGATTGACAAGAAAATTAACTACTGTACGTAAGAGCTGTCATTGTTCTGCTAGTTGTAAAGATTTATTTTTTCAAGCATTGTTCATATATAGTCCTTTTGATCTGTACATAAAACTGTTGGCTTGTTAAAATCTTTGCATTTTCTTCTCAACCTAATTGTTACCATGCTCCTCAATGTAAGTAAGTTAAATTGTGTACATAAATTTATTCCTGAAGATCTTCTATTAATAATTATTTATTATTGTTATTATTACCTTGTTAACTTTTGAAAATGAATTCTGTTGATATTTTTAGTGATATATTTGCTTAAATATTTTATACTAATTAATGTTCTCATTGGCATAGGAGAGCCACTAGACAGTGGTTTAGTTAACTTTTTGGCAGTTCATCCGGGCCAATTGAGTGTTTTTTCCTCTCTCTCTCTCTCTCTCTCTCTTATTGTTTGTGAGTTTTATTGTTCTTTGGACTAAATAAATTAAATGAAATGAAAATTCAAAATATTACATCAGGTTTGTTTTATACTCTCTTTAGAATATTAGTCTCATTGCTAAATTAACATGACAACAAACTATAATTTAATATACAAAAATCGTTTTTTCTAAAGTATGATATTTTTTGTTTTCCTGAATAAATGAGTAATAAAATTACTAAATAAAGTTTTCTTATCCATCAGTAATACCTACAATGATACAGCAAATATTTGTTTTCTCTTTTTCCCATCAGTCGGTTACCCCGTTCTTTGTATCAACTAAACTGAGCAAAATGAGGAAAGCTTCATGGATGGTACCTAGCCCTGACACGTATGTCCCCAGCGCTCTTGGAACTGTCGGTGTCGAGAGCAGAACACTAGGATGTACATCTCACGCTCTCCAGGTATTTTAATAACCATTTGTTACATCAATCAATTTCGTTCGTTTCCTTGTCATATGCTGATGATGTTTGACCTATTTACTGCAAGATTTCTATGAGCACTTAAAGTATTTTAATAAAAATTTGTTTCATCAGTCAATTATTTCTTTTGTTATCTTGTCGTCATATGCTGATGCTCTTTGACCAAATTACTGCAAGATTTTTATGAAGACTTTTATTATGCTGACCTCATTATTTGACTGATTCGTGTGGTGTTGTTATTAATTTGGGTCAGCTCTATTCATCTCGCATACTTGCTCCTCGGAGTCCTAAACACCACAGGGGTTTAGGAGATTAGACATTTTTTGAAAATAATAAGCCACTAGACGCTCATACAGGGCATCTTGACCTAAGAGTCAGGCATGAGCAAAACCTTTCAACAATAACGATGTTGTATAAGAGTTATGAACTACACGGGTCGTATATGAAACTACACACTACAGCAGGCCAGCACTACAGTCAGCAGAGCACCGCCATGCTATTGTGCTAGGCCTGAAACATCAAGCGTGCGACTGTGCGAGAGTCCAAAAGTTGGCGGTTATGATTTATTGTCTTTGTTGCGATATTTCTTCTGCTTTGATTGATTAAATCGCTACAATTTGCGGGACAATATATTTAGGCCTAGTCGGCAAAACATAATGCACAACTATTAAGGTTAGGAATCTAGGCCCAAGCCTAACGGAAAATATTATTTGCGGCTTGTTTCTCGCAAGCCACATAACACGCACTCGCGGGCCGAGATGACCTGCAGGTTGAGAACCTCTGTATTAGACTCTTCAATCAATTAAATAAGCCTTTGAAACCCATAAATTGTCAAAGTTTCCAAGGTTTCACCTCCTGGACCACATCCAAGATATTGGACGACGTCCATGTACTGTACGCTCGCGTTTGGTGATGTCGCCTTGTTGAATAACCAGTAATTATCTCTTATCACTAACAAAACAATGAAAATTTGCTTTACTATTTTTAAAATCCATTGCAATTGTTAAATGATATTGTTTAATATATTTTTTTAATTTGTGTTCTGATATTAACCAATTCACATAAAGGGAGTGATTTTCACTAATCATTGCTTTATATTTTTCTTTTTTTTTTTTTATATTTAACAGCATTATGTATCGGAATGCTTGCCTGAGAGTATGATGATGTCTTTTACTATGAACCTCCTTAAAGGTGCTCGAGCAAGAGCTCTCAAGAAGCAAGCCAAAAGCAATTAAGATCAGTTACAGAAGCTTTAGAACCGAAAGGGGACCTGAAATGCGACAAATCATAGATGCAAGGTGCCCAAAATATCCACTGAACATCAATAATTCTAATCTCAGAAACTAATGAAGTGTAATATTAAATGTGATTGTTTTGTATGAATTTTCAACGTTAAAGATGAAAAGGACAAAACATGCTGTGTAAACTAACGAGTAGTCGTTTGAGCAAAAGTATACAATGGCTAAAATGAAATTGAGTCTTATTTTAAAAAATAAAGGAACTGTAGATACAAAAGAAATAAGGCACATATAATGTAAACACCTTTATGTTTAGAGCCATTAATATTTATCAATATTTTACAATTGTATCGGATGTTTCCATGATGTTGGATAGCGAATCGAAATACTTGGTTAGTACAGCCCTTGATATTAATAGAATTATGGCAGAGTAATTTAAATATAAATTTTTATATATTAGTAAAAATTACATCATACTAAAACTACTTTCATAATTATGCCAGAGAAATAATCAGTTAGTTTTAAGGTCTCCTAATTAAGGCCACTTTTGGGACCATGGTTTCCATGGACTTTAGCAGCTTTGATCTCTAATTAGAATAATGAAAATAAGACCGTTGTTGATTTGCGACCACAGGAAATTGGTCTTTCATTGAAGGTTTCTTTATTGGGAGACCTATAATTTTTAAGGCATACAAAGATATCATACAATACTGTGCACTGTTTGCATAATTGTTGAAAGGCTTGTTTGAGCCCAACATTTTTACACTTGCTGAATAAACTTAGAAGATTAATTTTATGATTATACAATGATATTACTAAAAATAAATATTGGTTTCTGTGAAACTTACCTCACCTCTATTCTTTGAATATTGTGCTTGGTTTTTCACGCCGATAACTGTTACTTCCTCCAGTGCTTTTTGTTATGAACGGCTTATTTAAGTGTTGTAACACAGAGTAAAGTTTTTGAGTGTTTATAAATCACGAATTAACGATTTTGCAACATAACATACGATTAGGATTGATCACGTCACATTATTTACTACTTTCCACTAGCTTGTTTACTGGATCTAACGAAATTAGAGAATAAATAACCGTTGTCCTTGTACTAAAAACATGTGGCATGGTTTGGAATCAATCATACTAAAAGGAAAACATTAGGTGAAGTGGCTATTGATGAGTGGTAAACGTCGAGTTCTTGGTGATCCGTGAAAGCTACAGTTAATCTTACTTAATATTGTGACGTGTTCTCTTGAGTTAGTATTTATCACACCGTAACAACTATTAATAGCTCATTATTATTAGATGTGGGCGGCAGGTCCTCTCAGGATGTTTCCTGTCAATTTGAGTGCAATACAGTGCACTTTGCTTAAAGCTAGCAGTTGCCATGGTACAGTATGTGTAATGAACTATGGAGTGGTTCTGATCCAGAAATGCAGTGGTGTATCAAGGGGATGAGCAGGGGAGGTGGGTGCATGTTCCCCAAAATATAAGCTTGCACCCCCCCCCACTTCAATTGAAAATCGCACTTAAAGTAGTTAAAATTCACCTCATATCACTTATTTCGCTAATAGCACTCACTCCATCTTCACACCCCCATCAGACTCCCCATTTCAAGAGTCATATATACGCCACTGCTCTAACAATCTTAAAAAAAGAAGTTCGCGAAACAAGGTACAAAAAAAGTCTTGCCCCACGGCCTATGTGCATGTTAAGGAATGCAGTACACTCTTTGAACAAGCACAAGATCTTTCAGCATACTACTCAGGTAGTCCACCTTGAATTTGATTGGATAACCCCTGCAAATCTAAAGACTTATTTTCAGTCAATACTTTTTTTTTTTATGAGAGTACTGCGTTCTTTTAACATGCACCCGGTCCATATTGCACTCGGGACCAACAGCTTAAATATTTCTTGCAAATGATGAACACATTGAGAGCAAAGGTTAACAATGAATCTCCACGGTCCAGCGCACACTCGGTGGCTTGCACACAGGACCAACAGCTTGAATATCTCTTGCAAATGATGGTGAACACATTGAGAGCAAAGGTTAACAATGGATCTCCACGGTCCAGCGCACACTCGGTGGCTTGCACACAGGACCAACAGCTTGAATATCTCTTGCAAATGATGGTGAACACATTGAGAGCAAAGGTTGACAATGGATCTGTACAGTCCAACACACACTCAGTGGTTACCACCAGTTTTGCTAACTCAGCTATGCTGCTCTCTTGATGGTGGTTGCCAAGCAACCCAGCCAAGTTGGACACATATTTTCTTTTCGTTGAGGACAGTAGTATTTATTTTATATTCATAAGTGGAGACAATATTGTAAATATTACTTGAGCTGAAATTGTTACAACCCCAGATTTGTTACTTTCACTACATTGTGTTCATTTTTTAACACAGTGAAGATGCTAAATCCATCTTTGTCCGGCTGTCTCATTGAGTTCCAAATGCGATCAATGATTTTGACAGCTGACAAATATTGAAGTTAATCACAAAGATAAAAAAAGACAAGTTTATTTTTTAAATGACTACAATATTTAATTTTATTAAAAAACCAAGAATTCAATACAAGATGGTAATCTGAACGACAAACATCATTTTCAAATATTATCTTTTGACATAAGGCCACTACGGACATGATAATTGCAACTGCATTTTATAAAACAATTAAAATAACCAAGATATCCAATGCAAGTCAAGCAGAAATGTGTAGCACAGTCAACAAAACACAACATAATAATGTATCAATATATATGGCACTACAAGAAAATATTTGGCAAGAAACATTTTTAAACATTATTTTGTGAGTGTGTTGTGAAATTGTCCACTTGGGATGGAGCAACTATCATTATAGGAACCTTCAATACATACAATGGACAAAAATAAAATCAGCTTTAGACCTAATGTATGACGTGGATTAGTGGGGAGGGAGAGAGAGGGGCACAATTCATTACTTTTGTAATTTTCAGTAGAAAAGCCATGTCACTTACGCTAATTGCATTCATTCATAGATATAGCACTGCACTGATTCGATAAAAGAAAATTAGAGTAAAATAATATAAAAGTATCTTATACTTTTCAATAAAATAAGAAACTCTAAATAATAAGCAACATTTGCAAATTAACTTGACCTGTCAGCAGAACGTCTCCGATCAAAGGATTCTTTCAGGTGAACTTTCAATCGACGGAACGTCTGGTTATCTAACTACTGTACTAAAAATTTTCAGACAATATATACCATACAAACATACATACAACATACGTATATCAAGAACATTTAATTGTATATTTATTTCATTGGTGTGTTTCTTTAAATCATTTATATATTTAGTATGAACTATGAAGAGCTTGACGCTAAAGTTCCTCTCTTCTTCTGTTGCACAATTCGTCTTTTTATTGCACTGTTGACAATGTTGGCCCCCCATAGCCACATCCTATCTGGTATCATTTCTGCAATCCATAACTGTTGGAAAAATAATGACACGCAAAAAGTTAACATTTATGTTACCAAAATGAACTACCACGTCATTCTTGATTCAATCTCAAAAACATATACAATATATATTTAAATAAATGCCCCAGGCTATTCATTATTGAGAAGGGTTTTTGAGAGATGTTTATTGATACGTATATACTCAAATAAACGCCTCTTAATTTCACTGTAAATGTGGAACTGTAACACAAAATTACCGTCAAAATGGGTTATTGCATGATTCAAAGGACTTATTATCCCAACCAGGTAAGAAAAATGTACTTTTACTTGAGTAGAATATTAATAGAGTGTTGAGAATGATGTTGCTTCCATCCGTTTGTTAGTCATTTAGTGGGGCGTTCAGTCAAGGAAAAAATAAACATGCTGAGATGTGTATTTGTGGGGGCGTTTATTCGAAAAATACGGTAAATGCAAAAATTATTAAATATTAAGCAGGGTAAAGCAGGGCAAAAACTTTGTCGTACAAGTACGTCAAATCCAACTCTTCTGCATGCGAGCACTAGACAACGCAATGCCGACTGCTGACAATGAGAGTCATTAAACAAAAAGATGCGTTGCGTTCGCATCGTGCTTTGCATTCTCCATAGAATCGTGGTGGCCGTTGTGCGCAGTAAGTGTCCAGCTTCCCATTCATTCCAGGACATGACTCAAATAATCAAAGCACACACAGTAATTTAAAAACCTAAAAGGCAGGAAAAATGTATGTATCATGCGACACATTGAGAAAAAAAAAATTGTGTTCACATTTGAAAATCCAATGAATTATACCAACTTGGCCTAATATACAGTAGTTCTTTTGGTAGAGCAATGAATTATACAAACTTGGCCTTAATTCTTTTGGTAGAGCAACTAAATGTTAATTGGGGGCAGGCCCATAACCAGGATTACTTAAAAAGTCAGGAGGAGGACTTAACTGTGGGAGACAGTCCAGAAGCAGCCGTCCCTAAGTGGGGTCCAGGATGGGTCTTGGTATAATGTTCCCCCACTCCCCCTGTGTTCCCTACCTCTCCTAGAACCACCATTATCCATAAGTATCATATAGTCACTATGGTATTGCTTACCTGAAGTTGGTGTGGCCAATATCCGGTTGTTCGGCTAGACACACCCAATGTACTCAACGCCCTTCTTGCATATAGACTAGCTGACGGTATAAAGTAGCCAGGGCTTGGAACATTCTGCCCATATTTGGTCATCTTAGTGGCAACGTAGCATGGCATAAGGCTCTGTACTGTTATTCCTTTGTCTTCATATTCATATTGTAAAGATTGTGTCAGGAAATCTAAATAAGTCTAAAAAGACATCAGATATGGTTTAAGGCAAAACACAAATATTAGTTGATTAGTTTGACAAATTCATTGGTGGCATCTAGTACAATTGTGGCCCATTTTAAGCTGTTTTGAGATGTCTCATTACGAAATTTGGCTAAGAAAAAAAATTCCTTTCTTGGTTCGACAAATCTTGGTTGACAGGGTATTGGGCAGTTCAATGGGGAACCTAACCCCGCCCCAACCCCCCAAACTTGAATGTTGGTTCTACTCACTGGGTGGTAGCTAGTACAACTGCCACAAGAGATGATGAAGATAACTGATGATAATGATGATAATAATGATACTGATATTTCATTATGATGATGATTCATGTGTGGTAATGACAATCATTGTGATTATGATTGGTGACAGCTGTAATGACAATGATGATGTAGATGATGATATTGATGATGATGATATTGATAAGGTGTATGATTTATAGTGGTAAACTGAATGATGGTGGTAGTGTTGATGATGATAGTTAAGATGATAACAGTGATGATGATCTGAAGATGATTATGATGATAATGAATGTGGGAATTATGAAGATGATACTGATGATATTATTGATGATTATGCTAATGTTAATGATGACGATGACTATATAAACGACGGCGGTTGTCGGCAAAGATAATTATGATGATAATATCTATATAGCATTACCTGGACAAATCATTTCTATATTGTAATATTCTAGGGGCAGCATTACCGCTTCAATGCAGTAAGTTTTACATGCTAGCAGTAGAAACGTTTTACATAAACTGTACCTTAGTGGCTGTGTATACTGCTAGTTGTGGGTTGGGTCTGATAGAGGCTGCTGCTGTTAAATTCACAACAGCTCCCTTTTTCCTTTCCACCATTTGAGGTAGCACAATACGGCTCATCTGGCGAAGAATTTGTATTAAATATATCAATCAAGAAACATCATAGATGCTTGCAAAAAAGCTGTCATTTGTTGGTTAAGATGCTTGCTTTCTAATACTTAGCATTAAGGTTCAATTCTAACAACATTTCCTAGCCAATGAGAAAAAGATTTTACACACTATTCTCAAGGAGTCATACACTGTGGTTGATAAAAAATAAAACAAGAAGCCAGACATAAAGCAATTTTAGTCTGTCTATTCAACCCTGTTTTATCAGACTTTGATAAATTATGCTCCTTTTTAATGAAATGGAAAGACAAACTTTTGGGTCAGATGTATATTCAAATTCATAGTTCGAACTGCGCATGCTCGTAACGGGGTCAATCGAATTTAACACCATACACACATCATAGGTTTATGTTGATTGACCTCGATTTGACCTTGAATGTGAGCAAGCACCGTTCTAACTACAAACTGGCTTATAAGTAAACATACACTATTAAAAAAAAGTCTGATCAAACATCAATAAATCTGACAGACAAAGAACTGTTAGTGCATGCTTTGTTTTTACAAGTGGTGCTCCCACATACTTGCATAATAATCACACATGAGCACTCAGTATTCTAATATGCCTTTCTGCTGAGCCTCACCCCTTAGCTATCGTTGCTATGGTCCCACAAAACAATTAGTGTGAACGTGGGACAAGCACATTCCTGTCCTGATTGGTCAGTTAATTTTGATTGACATTAGTCCATTGTGAAAGAAGTTACATGCTATATTTTTTTTAATGCACTAGAAAGTTTGGTGCGTTCAGCAATAACTTACTATTGTTGCAGCTGTGATATTAACATTTATCAACTGGAATATGCGATCCAGATTCATTTCGTGGAGACACTCAGGATAGTACATCACACCAACATTGTTCACTGGAAAAAATAAAATGAACAAAAACCCATTTAATTGTGCTATACACAACCTCAGTTTTCAGCAGATTAAATAAATACTTGAAATTTGTAGCCACAGCAACTGGTTTTAGAAACTGCAAGTAGCTATGCCAGCACCAACTGCCGATGCAAAAGCAGTAGCCCCAGGCGGATTCAAGGGGTAGCCAGCCTAGAACTATCCTAAATGTTTGAAAATTACAAATAATATTTTTAAATTGGAAAATTACACTAAAATTTAGGCCTGAGAGTGCATTTCTGACCAGCGAGAGGTGCCATAGCCATAATATTTTATTTTATTTTATTTTATTTATTATTGTTTATTAGTGTTTTTATAAATAAATAAATAAATAAATACATTTATTTATTTATTTGTTCAGGTAAACACTTACAACAAATAATAATGAACAGTAAAACAGTATAAAAAAAACCACTGTTCATGACATCAAACACACTGCACTCTTGGGGCACACATAGGAACTCCATGATCCATCAGGATAAGGGATTATTAATTCAAATTTATATAGAAAAATATATAAAAAAAAAAAAAAAATCATTATTATTATTATTATTTTGGTTAATTATTTATTTGCTGCTTTACTTGTTTGTTACAACTTGTTGATAGACGTGTTTTCTAAATTTTGTACCTCACCCCCAAACACGTGGGGGCTGAACTCTCCATCCATAAAATTTCCTCCCTATAAAGCCGCCTTTATTTTGGATCTGCCACAGGTACCAAAAGTTACAGTATTTACAGTAGCAGATGCAGTAGCTGCATGCAACATCAGAAGTACTGGTACTGGTCTTTGTAACCGTGGTGACAGAGGATCACATGGTGGCTACTGACTGTATACAGTTAGTGCTTATATACACTACATGTTAATTCTCAAAAAATCAAAAAGTATTCTTGCAACCACTTTTGTTTTTTTTAGCCATGTCAAAAGAAACAGCTGCAGTGAAATTGATCTCACCTAGTATACCAATTTCTTTATCTTTAATCTCCTCTTCAATCATTGCATAAATAGCGCCCCCTTGACTGAAGTCTGCTGTCACCACCTGAGTCTGGATTCTAAACTGTGATTCTAAAAGGAATAAAATAAAGCATTGCAATACTTTGGTTCATATTGGAATTTATGGGATGAAAATAAATAGAATTGTAAAAGAATCTTGTTACACCCAATAAAAAAAAAAGATTAATTTATCATCCCCACCCACATGTCTTCTACCTATATAGTGTTGGAAAACAAAACATTTGAAGGGTAAAAACATTGTTATAGTAATAGTTAATATATTGCTTGTATTATCTATATTTTTAATCATGTATTTTACATTGAATACTAAAGCACCAGCAAGCAACCCAAGGGTGATATTTGGCTTTAGCAAAATATAAATAAAAAGCCTCCCTCCCTCATTACTTTTCCAGCTTAGATAGTGTTATAAAATAATCATATTTTTATAGGAACTTACTAATGGAGTGGCACTAATCTTTCGATTAGTTTTCTTAATTCAAAGAGGACTTTTAAAAGCCCTTGTTTTGTACATCTATAGCACACTTTGGACTTGCCTGTTAACTTGTTTTTTATTGGTTTTTTTTTAATTGAATTTTTTAATGAGTTTTTTCATGAGTGGGTTTTTTTTTTTCAAGATTGTAGCTTGTTGAAAAAAACTATTATCACATAAACACAGATGAAAACCAAAACATGCATTAACTATGTTTAAATAAAATAGAACAAAAGTGACTTAAAATAGAGAAAGTGAGGCCATATTAACTCAGCGTTTCGACTGATGATGACTTAATGAATTTGAAACGCTGAGTTAATATGGCACTTAATATGGCACTCACTTACTCTATTTGGACTTAATAAAGTTAATATGTCATCACTTTCTCTAGTTTGGAGTCACTTTCACTTTTGATCTATCATAAACGAAAACTTTGTTAAAACTTTGTTTTGATATAATCATTGCATATTTTTACATATCTTTGAGAAAAAATCCTGATTCATTTATGACTCTCTATTACATTACTCCGTCAAGGTGGAGGATTTTTAATTTTTTTTAAATTAAAAAAAATAATAAAATTTAATATATTCAAATTTATATCTGAGAGTGTCATTTCCAGCCATGTAGGGGGCCATAATCATAAATCAGAAAGTCCCTCCCAGGGCCCCCTCTGTTTTGAATTTCTGGATCCGCCACTACTCTGTAAAGAAATAATTTAACCAGAGTAATGATTTCTCTGAACATTTCTATGGTGTGAAATGACAATCAGAATGTGGTTGCAGTACAACCTTCCCACCGTCTATTTCATGAATATAACTTCATGCCCTCGTTACTTCATATAGACCCCATTCTGTGTTTACATTGGCCGCTGGTGGCGCGCACAACTGGTAGCCGAGAATTTCGCCAAGAATACGAGAAATGCACAGGAAACCATGATAGGCCTTCTTTTTTTTTTTTTTTTTTTTAGTGCCAAAAATATGAAAGCTACATATGGATGAAATTCCCTATATAATTGAATAGATTTTTACTTTTTGTGTCGATTCCTAACTATGCCATATGTGAATTTCATCCATGTAGCTTTCGTAATTTTGGCAAACAACAAAAAACAAGAAAACCATTATCATGATTTCCTGTGCTTCTCTCGTATACAGTACTTGGCGAATTTCTTGCCTACCAATCGAGTGTGTCACTAGTGTCTCCGCTAGGCCAAAGTGGCTATTAGGAAGCTTTCGATTTGTGTGACGACGCGACACTAGAACGGAATCACTCATGCGTGACCGTCCTACCTAGCGTCCTACGTTCTCTGCATACGCAGATTTGGCCAAATTGCGTTCCAGAATCTACTCGACGAGGTGACCTTAACGTTCTCGCATGCGCAGATGACTTCTAGTGACGTCGTTACGTTTTACGTCCTACCGTTGTTATACAATTGAAAGCTCTCTATTGTTCGCACAATCCTGAACCTAGCCAATACAAATGTTATCTACCCAAAACTAGTTCTTTAAATAAACACACTTTTGACAATAAAACTATTATTCAAATAAGATAGCTTAAGATGTTCCTCTTCACAATATTTTTGTAAATTTGACCAATTCCAATTTCATAATTAATTAATTAATTATTCACTTGTTTTGAATTTGTATGTTTATATATATTTATTTGTATTTTTATCTGTATTATTTGTATCTGCAATTTCTTTCCTAGGATGTTCCTCTTTGCAATATTTTTGTAAAATTTTATTCCAATTTCATAATGTAATTTAATTAATTATTAAATTTGTTTAGCATTTTTTATATATCTTTTATATTTATATGTATTGTATTTAAGACATCCTGTAATTGGCTTTTTGCTGTTGGATGATGTTCGAAATAAAATAAAATAGGTTTTATATAATTAAATTATTTGTATATACTGTATATTATTTTTACTTTTTCTTTATACTGAATAATTTGTATTATATTGCTACTTATTTTTTACATTTAATTAATGAGTAAATTTAAAATAAAATGTAATCCAAATTTTCAGTGCATTTTTATAATTATATATACTCATATATTTGTATTTTAATCTTTTTTTTTATTCTTACAATAAAAAATTAATTTATATCTGAACTTCATAATTTTTATCTGAACTTAATTTTTATGATGTCAATATTTGTTGAATCTAACTCTGATGTTTTGAAAAAGTATATTTATTGTATTGTTTCCTTATTGTTCTATTATTATTCTGTAATTTTAGTATTCTCATTTAAAAGACCACAGTGAACATAAGTTGCTTTTTGTACTTTTCTGTGTTTTTATCCCTGAAAGTTTTTACTTCTAATTACTTCAGAATGAATTAAATAAAAATAACTAAATAAAAATAATAATCTTAAATTTAAATGAATACATACATACCTAAGTCTTTGGCACATTTTATTAGTTTATCATTGGATCTGCTTATCAGAATGATATTCATACCACAACTGGCAAGTTCTTGGGCGTATGCTTTTCCAATGCCATCCGTACACCCGGTAACCACTGCAGGCAAAAAAAAATATAATATCTGCACAAGTTTTTGTGTCTACTGCCACCAACAGGGGTGTAGACACTATGTCATGATGTAGCAATTAAAGATGGCGGAAAAATGGTAAATCCTGTTTAGGCATGATGGGTACTACTACCACGAGGTAGGGGGCGCTCTATTGACAATCGAATAGCATTCGGAACTCGAACAAAATTCGAACACACGTTATAGAGATGCAGAAAGCATTTGGCGAACGTCTTTTTACAATAATTATGTTTGAGATTGGGATGGTTTGTCAGTGATCTGATTACTGTACTTTGTCCAGGTATAATACGCCAACAAGCTATAAACTCTTCTCAACAATGAAAACGCCTTGGGGTGTTTATTCTAAAATAGATATGGTATTATTTTAACTTTTATCACTGAGATTTTAGAATGTCTGGCAATTACAAATTGCCCATTTGGCAGAGGAGGCCTGATTAGGCTAGTTAGTAGTCATTGTAGAAAATCTGTGAATTGGAACATGCGCACATACTCTTGGAAGCAGTGCTCTATCGTGGTCTAAAAAGGAAGACGATTGCCGAGATAGTGAGATTACGGGTTCGATTTCCACCAGAGACCTCTTTTATCATACAACTATGAACTTTCGTTGATGAACTATGTTTGATACAATTCTATAATAGGGACAATTACCATTACTGAGATTGCCTTTTTTAATATCCAAGGTTAAAATATACAATTTGACCACACTTATTTTGGGGTTTAATATATACAGATTAGCAAAACACTGTAGCTTTGTTACTGTATTTATTCTTAGACAAGAAAGTTAGGCAAACAATTCTTCCTATATATCTTGGGATTATACTACAGACAATGGTCCTCATATATTCATTTTGGGGCTTTATATACAGATTAGAGCAATAAAACAGATTTATAATGCAGCAAAGAAGAAAATAAAAAAGACCAGTGAACAATAATCCAGAAAATTAAGCCTAGGTGCTAGGGCCTAGTAAAAACAACGCTTTTTTGTAACTAACAGGCTGTGATTCCAAGGCAAGGAGCTACCAATAATAAACATTTCTTTGGTGATTCCAAAGATTGGGTACTGAACAAAACCGAACACGAAGGCCTGGGCTATGTATCTTAGGTCTAGGCTAGGCCTAGGCCAACCATGCGTTTGCTGCTTCCGTATGACAGCGGCGGGGTTTACTCACATGCCCACGGACCATATCGGCTAACAAGGTCTGGTCTTCTCCTCAATTTTGGCAAGCCATACACAGAAATTGCCCTATAACATCCACAGACAATATTCAATGTCTTCTGTGTAGTGTAAATAGCCCCAACAATTGCAAATGCGTCGCTAAATGATGACAATTGTCCCCGCAACTGCAGAATCATTTCATTAAACAACATATCCACCCTATCGACCGCAACCGCCATGATTGTTTGTTTTGATGTCAAAGTTCAAAAGCGGACCTGGGAGATCGAATGAAGAATTTCACGCTCCCCAAACTATGGGTCGCGATCCAAAAATGGGTCGCCAAATTTTTGCGTTGGATCGCGAGCAGGTTTGCAAAAAAAAAAAAAGAATTCAATTTAGGCCCCACAAAAAAAATATTAGTTTAACACCCTATGTATCAAAGAATAAAAACTGACAGGGGTGGCGCCAGGATCCCGAAGGGAGGGGAAATTGAGGGGTTTCAAAGGCTTATTTAATCGATTTTAGAGTCTACTAATATGTAGGCCCCCCACCCCCGGCGCCACCCCTGAAAACTGATGTGGGAGGGAGAGTTTTTTTTTTTTTTTTTTTTTTTTTTTGCCAACCTTGCCCGCATTTTACCGATGTTTACAAGTAAATCAACGGTTAGGGACACATATAGCCTAGGGACACATAAAGTCATACGAATGGAATCAAATTTATATTTAAAAAATATGTTTTTGTTGTACCAATAAACATATTTGCAAGAAATCCTGAGCTGTGAAAAAAGATGGAAAAACGACCGTTTGAAATAAAAAATTATGATGATTGAAAAAAAAATATCAGAATTTCCCCAAAAGTGGTGAGGGAGGGGGTGGGGTGATAAACTTTTTTTATGGGGCCTTATGTGCCCATTTTCAGACAGTTGATGTGAAGTTTAACAAGTCTGATGACTTAAAAACAGTATTTTTAGGTGAATCCTCATTACAATGAATATTGTGAAATTAATATGACTATAATTTTTCTGTTGTCATTTACCACCAGTGGCGTACCGTAACTACCGCAGGTTCAGCAGGTTCGTCGAACCTGGGCCCCTAAGCTCCAGGGGCCCCTGATCTATAAGGGCCCAGCCCTCTTATAAAAAAATCTAATAAAGCAATGCATAGGCCTAAATGAAAATTTAGATTGTAAATAGTATGTATCTTTACATAGGCCGAGGCCTACTGCACATTATAAGTTAAAATTTCCTCGAAGTTGGCGTAACTACCACAGGTTCGGGCGGTTCGTTGAAACTGGGCCCCCGATTTCCAAGACCCCCCTTGGAGAAAAAAAAATCTAATAAAGCAATGCATAGGAAAATATTGATTAATAATATTTACCTTTATATTCAATACTGAATTTTATCATTTAAAATTGTTAATTTAACTTTAAAATAATCAATTATCAATCAAAGCCCATACAATTGTAAAAATTGTCACTCAAACGCCGATATCATCGTGATGGATGGAAATCCACAGTGAAAAAGAACGTCATCTATTCATTCGTGAAAGCTTGACAACCAATATAAGTTACCAACAGATATCGGTTGTCAGAGGGAAAGTGTCCTTTCTTTTCCCGCTAATGGAAATATGATTGCGGGGCCGGCGTTTGTCCCTGTACCCTGACAAGGACACTTTGGATCTTATTAATTCCAGCTTGGACTCACTTTAGCCTGCATTAGTCATAGTGAACTTAAATTATATGGCGTGAGCCATATGATTGACTGAAACTAAAGGCATTTTCAATATACCGTATTTATTCAAATAAACGCCCCATTTTAAACTCCCACCTCGAATAAACTACCTCCCTCTAATAAGTCTACATAATTCTCAGAACATTCTATTAATGTTCTACTAAAGTAGAATTTAATTTCTTAACATAGTTGGGATCAATGAGTCGTTATAATCACGCAATAACACATTCCAAGATAATTATCTGTGGTAATTCCATACCTACAGTAAAAATACATGGGGCATTTATTTGAGAATATAACGTATCCGTTATAAACCAAAAAAATAAACGCCTACCTCGAACAAACACCCTTAAAAGATAAACGCCCGGGGCGTTTATTTGAATAAATATGGTATTTTTAAAGTATACTTTTTATTGTATTTGTTGTTTTTGTTAATTGTTTTTAAACTGTATTTCAATGTTTTGCTTAAGGTTTCCTCGGGATATTGTCGTTTTATCCCCCAAATTGCGAACTAAAGGCATGTTTACACTATGACGATAACGATTAACGATAAGCAATTGTTCATATAGAAAATAAAAGAAATAAGAGAAGTTTACACACAAAATATTTTATTAAATCAAATGAAATGATGTCACAATCATTGGAAAACTATAAAATCGTACTAGTAAAAACGATTTCATCGTTTTCCCATGATTATGGCGTCATTTCATTTGATTTGTGAAATTATTCTGTTATAATAATTAATCGTTATCGAATCGTGCTAGTGTGAAACCTTCTCTTATTTCTTTTATTTTCTATGTGAAAAATGCTTTTAAGCTTTTTATAGTTGATCATATTGTCATAGTGTAAACAGACCTTTACTCCTGCGCACAATCGTATAAATTAAGAGACAAGACATATTTAAGCAAGCAATGTTTTTGAAAGCATATTTGTAAAACAATTGAAATATTGTCACGTACGTTTTGTTTTTTTCGATATTTTAAAGCTTGTTCACCTTTTTTGAATATCGTCAGGTGATCATACTTCATGAATACGTTTTAAATTTACTTTCTTCAAGTAGGTTAATGCAGTGGCGTAGCCAATGGGGACCAGAGGGGGCCAGGACCCCAAGAATTTGGCCTTCCCCTTTCAACATGTCGATGATTGCTCGAATTCAGCTCAACCAGTTCGTAGTTTTGACTTGCAAAACTACGGGCGACTTCCATTCCACCGAGAAATGTTCGCTTCGCTGTTGTTCTTCAAAAATCACTCTGTGGGAATTGAATTCGAAATGGTAGACATATTGATGTTCTAACCTTTATTGCCTATAAGCCTTGTAGCTGCTTCGAAACCTTTTTCATATCCAACTACCACTCTCTCTACCCCGAAGAGGGATGTTATACCAAGGTCCGCCTGAATTTTCCTTCCAACCTTAGCCCCACTATTTTTGGTGAAGAAGACATTGCTGCGCGTAATATGCGAGACTTGTTTGAGTGGGCCCAGACAAACCTCAGTGTTTGGAGATGCTATAATTGACCGCAGAAGTTATAATTATACTTTAAATTGGAACAAATTTTGTGTGAATGGTGTGTAATAGGCCTATTGTAAAATTGTAGAAACATTCTCCGCATGAATTCATTCATTCATTTCGTTCATTCTCTTTATTTCGAAAACTAGTTCATAGACTACAATACTAAAGAATATAAAATAAATAAATAGACATAAATATACTGAAAAACATCTTTCAGGTACAATTCAAACTTGCATTTATGTAAACATTCATTTTACATATAAACTGCTGTCCTTGAAAACGTGATCATATTATGCACTTTACTAATGTATTCTCACAATTTCCTACCCTCTCAATAAAACCATAGACGGTTTTTCTAATGAATTCGCCAAAACTGGGAAGACAGTTGGAAACAAACATTTCACTAGCACTGCATGATTGTTCAACAATAACCGCAATGCATTGATGGAGCACACTTTAAGTGAATTAAACGATTTACATGTGTATTTGCACCATAAATTGACACAGTAAAAATTAATGCAATAGGCATTAAACAAAGAACATTTCACATTAATTGTACAATTACGAAAACGAGTTTTCAGGACATTTCTCCTAATACACAACGATCTATATTGACGAGCAATATCTTCATTATCGTTTAGACTAGAAGTTATGATATTACCAAGATATGTGAATTTGTTAGTCAGGCTCCGGAGGAAAACATTTTTTGATATGTTGTAGAACTGATTTTTCTAAGACAGAAAAAAGTTGTTTGACAAAAAACTGGGGAACGGTGAATGAGATACAGATATTTCAATATTTAAAAACTGGGGGGAAAAGGGGGCGTAACTGCCCATTTTTACACCTTATTAGACATTTATCATCAAGAACAGTTTCAGGATTTGAATCGGATTTCTTAACAGACGGGTAAAAACACATACACTTTGATTTCATGTTACTATATACAATATCATGAGTATCAGCATGAGATTGACAAATATCGATAATGTGCTGAAGATCAAATAAAGAAGAAGACAATGCAACCATATCATAAGCATAACAAAGAATTGAGATGTTTATCCTTTGGTTAATAAATACAAGATAGGCTTACATACATAAACTATACAATAGAAATAATGAAATACCAACATATCCACGAACTGACTGATATATTTGTAATAATAATAATAATAATAATAATAATAATAATAATAATAATAATAATAATCAGTTTTTATATAGCGCAAATATATATATATATATATAT